AAATTTCTATTTGTGCTTCCCTTCCAATGCCAAAGCAGTAATAAAGATGCAAACCACAGCTATATTTCATAGCAAATGTCAGTAAAGTTGTTTAGTTTGAATCTTGGCACTGACATTCTGAGAAATGGAGTGCTGCTGGAGCTGAACCAAGTGGTGGGTTTCAGGTTTGGGTACCGCTAACCTATGTAAAAGAAACTTGATACAACATTTTCTTGGACATTCTGAAAAATGGGTGATCAAAACTGTTACTTTCAGCCATGAAGGTATAAGCCTGCACTCCAGTGCTCCACAATTACCTTATTTCTGGTAGGGAGCAGACTTTGTGCATATTTTATATGTGGGAATCCCAGATGTGGAGTTTTTTCATGTATGTAAAGGTACATGGTGACATCACACAACACCTACTTTTGTGTTTTGAGAAATGCATTTTATTGCATGTGTCCTGAGAGCTGCACAGGGCTCCGTTGTGTGTCACTGGAAGCTGATTTCCCCTGTTGTCTTGTTATAGTCTCAACTTTCAGATGACTTCAGTATGATATTATTGGCTATGGCAGAACAGGCAGGTGTTAATTGAGCTGTGGCTCTGTCTCTTAAACTTAACAACTCAGGTGAGAGAACTCGTGTTGCTTTCCAGGCCTTCTCAGCCCACAGAAGAGGGAAGCTCTACAGCGACTAAGAACTGATATAGAAGTGTTAACAGATTCTTGGCTGGAAACTGCATTAAAGTCCCTGCTACTCATACAGTCCAGGTACGGAAAGTGGAAACGTGTCTGTTACTTTCTCAGAAGTTCTTCTCACTTAGTCCAGTTACAGTAATGCCAACATGTAATTGTACTGCTGCTTGTCACAGAAACTTCACTGCTGAGCACCCTTTGAGACCTTCCTATGACAACATCTTTTGTTAGGAAGGTCCTTTGAGTGAGACTGTGCTCAGAGAATCGCATTCCTGCAGAAGAATATCTGTTTAAAATAGATAAGCAAACAAAATCAAAATCTGAGCCTCAGAGAGGCTGGGCAGCAAAGTTGATGGCACCTTTGGAAAGCTGAGCAAGCTGCCCAGGGTGGCCCTCAGCACTACTGGCTGCTGTTTTTAAAAGTGCTTTCTTTGTTGTTTTTTCTTTCAGAAAAAATTGTGTGAACATCCTGATCACAACCACCCAACTGGTGCCAGCTCTTGCCAAAGTTCTCCTGTATGGATTGGGCGAGGTGTTTCCCATTGAAAATATTTATAGTGCAACAAAAATAGGTAAGCGGCTGTGCTGGATACCTGGCACTCAGGTGTTTTTTGTGGATTAGCTGGGATTTTAACACAGGAAGCACAATTTCTGCAGCTGAGCAGCACTTGTGACTGAGGAGATGCTGATGATTGCTAATAGTGATGGCTTCAGGTCTTGGAAACAAAACTGGGCATTCTCCCCATCCCAGGAAGACAAAAATGTATTTCTATTTTGGGACAACAGGGCTTGTTCAGGATGTTTCTGCCTAAAGCTCATTACAGTGGGATTGTGTTTTGGCAGGCAAAGAGAGCTGTTTTGAGAGGATTGTGTCACGATTTGGAAAGAAAGTCACCTATGTGGTAATTGGAGATGGGCGTGATGAAGAGGTTGCAGCTAAGCAGGTGGGTTTCTGTGGATGTGGGGCAGTAGATAAGAAGGAACTACCAGTTGGATTGATTTGACGGGCTATTCACTTGAAATTAAAGGTGGTGAAGTGCACAGATTGCTGTGCACTCTCAGGCTTCACACTGTGCCACGTGTCAGAGCTGTTGTCCACATGGATTCCCTTGCAGTCCTGGAAAGGCTTTGCTCTGTGAAGCAGCGCCTTGCAGCCCAGCGTGGAGGTTTCCATTGTGACTGTGTGAAGCAGCTGACAGTCAGTGCCTGTCACAGAGAGGTGTGCAGATAAGATAACCTTTAGATACTGCTGTGCTCAGTGGCTGAGATCCTTTCTGAACGTGCTGCCCTCTGTCAGTGCTGTCACAAATGCTATATTGCCCAGCTCTGCAGGTGTACCTTGACTGCTTCCACCCAGCTGTAAAATCACCCCAATAAAACTGACCTTATCTTCTCGTTACAGCACAACATGCCTTTCTGGAGGATCACAAACCATGCAGACCTTGTGTCCCTTCACCAAGCCCTTGAGTTAGACTTCCTGTAAGGAGCCGGAGCAAAGGCGTGACTGTGGCTCCTGCAATCTCTCCATCACAGGGGAGGCAAAGATCTCATACAACTGGGGACTCAATTTTCAGCTTGATGAAGAAAATATACCTAATGCAAATTGTACAGTAGACTTCAGGTCACTTCCTCAGGAGCACAGACCTGGCCAAGTCCAAAGGTGTCCTATGAGAAGCACTAGTCTCAGCAGAGCTAGAGCTTGACTGGCGAAGAGACTTATGGAATCCAGCTGAATTCTTCTGGCAGGTAGTCTCCAGAGGGAGGGGGTAACACAGCTGAGAAGGCTCTTACTGATACTTCTGCTTTTCTATTCAGCTTAGTTATAGAACCCAAGTAAACATAAAACCTTATTTTTATAGAAAAAAACTGATGGCAGAGCTGAACCTCCCTTGTTTTGCAAAGCCAAAAAGAGATATTGTTGTTTGTTTGGTTTTTTTTTTTCCATGGGAAATATTAATGAAAATGTCAAAAATACCTCTGCTGCTGTGAAAATGTGTCCTCTCTCCTTCTCTGGGTGTTCAAAAGCAGTTAATTTATTATGATATCCTTACATTATTTCTACAACATGGGATTTTTCCCATTCTAGGATAAGTGGTTCCTAGTAGAGGGAGGTGTTGCTGTTGGTTGCTCCCATTGGCTTCTAGGCAGTGTATGTACCATGCATATGGCTGAGCCCTGTTAATGAGCAGGGGATCACTGGATTCCAGCTGTCCATGACCCAGACCATAGGTCCCACAGATTTTTCCTGGATAGGAAAATGAGACTGCCCATGAACCTTCGAGACAGTGCAACACTATTGAAGAGAGTGCTAAGATCTGAACAGAGTCCTCATTTGGACTGGAAGTAATTTGAGAGAGAACTAAATTCTCACGAATGTTACAAAGAAGGATATGGTAATTGATCTTTGCCTCTGCTTTTCTGACTCCATTTGTGAGAATATGTTCCCTTTGGTAGAAGCAGATTCAATTTTCTTGTATTCTTTGCATTAGCCTAACTACATAGTTAGCAACAAAATAAAGTCCTTGACAGGAGGTACTGAATTCTGTAACACACTGTGACTTGCCAGCCTGGAGCACACTGGCCTTGGAAGTGATGGATACACTGATTTTTTTTATTTTATTCTTTTGCTACCATCTCAGAAAATGTCTGGAGTCAGTGAGCTGCAGTACTGCTAGCCAGAAGGGCAACTGGAGGCCAGGGGCTGCTTTGTGCCAGGTCAGGCTGTGGGCAGTGGTGTCTGCCACCCACCTGTGCCCCCTGATGGCACCAAACCAGCAGATACCTGAGATTTCTGTACAGAGGATGGATGTCTGCTTTGCTGCTGAGCCAAACACTGCAGCTGCACCTAAACCCTTCCAGATTGTGTTTTCAGCCCAGCATCACCCAGCTGTGTCCCGTGGGGACCAGTCTCAAAGGTGCAGAGTGTGACTTAGGAAGGATGCGGACTGCTCAGGGTGCACCCACAAGAGCAGGTGATGTTTGCTGCGTTCCTTTCATGGCATTAATTACTGAGGAATCATTTCCATCAGTGCTGGGGGAGTGCTGGGGTGGTTCAGCACATGTGTGGATTTGTCCTATGAGGGACTGCTGTGAAGTGTGTCCCTGTGCTCTGCTCACCACTGCTAGGGCTGCTGAAGGTACGAGGCTTGGATCCTGGTCTCTGTTTCAGCTCTGGTTTTGGCTGTAAAGATAAATAGAAATCAGAGGAGTTTGCCTTTCTCCGAGATGGCCCAGAAGCCAGAGCCTTCTGCTTATCTGTCAGCTCAGCGCCAGATGCCAGCCAAGTGCTTTGATCACAGGCAGACATTCCAGGGCTGTGTTATCTCCCCAGGAAGCCTCTGCCTCAGGAGTGCAGAGCAGGAAGGTGGAGATGGTGCAGGGCAATAGTTTGCTGCTGGAGCCATAGAATGGCTGGGGCTGAAGGCACCTCAGAGCCCCCAACCCCTGCTGTGGGCTGGTTGCCACTCCTCCATCAGCTGCCCAGGGCCTTATCCTGCCTGACCCTGAGCACCTCCCATCCTTGGCAGGACTGCTGGCTGTCAGGCACACCTCTGTGCTTTACTCCCAGCACAGCATGTGGCCACTGCCTCCTGGAGCCCCGGGGGTCCAGGGCTGGCAAGCTGTTCTCTTGGCACAGAGCACACTGCAGCCAGCAGGCCCTGCTTTGGTTGTTTACTTTAAAATGTTTTAAGGGAATTTTAAGACGGCAAGAGAATTTTAGCTGAGTGCAGAGCTATTGCAGCCAGTGGCATTTCATACTGATATTTATACGATGTCTCCTTGAATGTATGTAAAGTACTTTTATAACAGGAGGTCGGTGGTACATTTCTGTGTTTGTTTAATAAAGGCTGACCCGGCGATTTTATTTTTTTCCTCTGCTGGCTGCTCTTAAGTGTTTTCCTGTCTCACACAGCAGAGGCAGCGCCTTTACCCGAGCATTGATTTGCTTCTGTGTCCCTTTGCTGTTCCCAACCCGGCTGTAAGCTGAACTGCTGACAAATGCCAAATGGAAGCGGCCTCCTTCCGGCTGCCCACCAGGATCCCACACCACTGACTGCACAGCCCCTGGGGCTGCCCTTGTCCTGGGGAGGCTCACGGAGCCCCTTCTGTGCTCACATGGGAACCCCAGGGCTGCCTGCGGTGCAGCCGCTTCTGTGTGTGTTCTGTGTAATGGGAACTGTCCTATGAACTGGAAAAAAAAAATAAAGTCTTTTATTTTCTATAGTCACCGTTTCTGCCTGTTGTCCACCAGCCCTGTGGTCCCTCCCCAGCCTCCACCACTGGCTCAGGGCAGTGCTCTCTGCACTGTTATTGCCTGGGCTCTGAGCCTGCTGTGGTGGCCGGGGACAAGGCACCTTTTGGGTACTGAGGCACACAGCACCTTTTTATATTTCCTTTTTTTTCTTCCCTTTTGCATACATCCCTCCTTCCAGCACAACTGCATGCTGCAGTGCTGCTGTTCCTTTGCACTGTGCTCACCCTGTGCTGGTGACCCTGGAGATGTGCAGTCTGGGCAGTCCTCCACCACCCCCCTGCTGTGCTGTGGCAGTGGGTGGTGCTGCAGCAAAATGTGGCAGGAGCTCCAGTGCCAGCACTGGGTGCCCATGCCACAGCTGCTGCCCCTTCAGCCCCAGAGCAGCTGATGTGCAGCATTATGGGCTCAGACCTGCTCACAGCCGTGAGGGATCCCCACTGATGAAGTCCCCTTGCAGTGCCTGGGCTGCTGATGGTGCTCAGGAGGTGCTGCCTCCATGCCAGGACCCCTACAGTCCCACCCCTCCCTGCCCCAGCTGGGCCACATGTCAGCACTGTGCAGCCTTCAGCCTTAACAGTCAAACAACAGAGAAGTCTGACTACAAACAGACATCCGACAGCCACTGCCAAGCAGGAAGTGACCTTGGAGTGACCAAGAAGGAATGACCTTGGCAGTGGGCACCAGAAGATGCACGGACAACCAGGTGCTTTTTTGTTTGTTTGTTTTTTTGTTTTTCTGGAAAAGATGAATAATAAATAACAAGAATCAACAGTGCCACAGTGCCATGCAGGGCCCAGCACCAAGCTCCGAGCCTTCCTGCCTGCGTCCCTGCTGTGGCAATGAACTGCCAAAACTGCAGCCTGGGGCACACATAGAAAGAACCAAACAACTCAAACCACTTGGATAAGGCACAATTCCATCCCAGGGAGTGTAGAACAGTCTCAGACAGCAGCTGCCCCATTCAGCAGGTGTGGCTCTGCCAGCACAGACAGCGGGAAGTGGCTCCGTGCGAGGCACCGCAGCCGGGAGTTCACCAGGTCCGGCTCTGAAACACCACGGAGCTCACAAGGCTCTGAAATACTGCGGAACTCCACGGCCCCATCAGCCCTTCCATCAGCATCCACCTCGTCACCGCCGCTCCGTGGCCGTGCTCGCACGTTGGGGTGCAGCCACCTGTAGTAGGTGATGCGCAGCAGCAGCCCCAGGAGGTAGCAGGGCAGCGCAGCGCACAGCGCCGGGATGAGGAATGGGTGCTGCTCCTCGGGGGGAGAGCCAGGGCCCCAGAGCCAGGCCAGGGTCAGCAGCGTGCTGTCCACCAGGATGAAGCTGTGATAGATGATGCTGCGGTGCAGGGTCCTCCCCGGGGCCACGTTGAACCAGCTGAAGTAGAGGATGACGGCCACGATGGCACGGTAGAGCTGCTCGGGGCCCGGAGACTCCATGAAATCGGTGCCCTGCAGGCGGACCCAGAGAAACATCGCCAGCCACACCAGTGGGAAGTGCACGGCCACACCATAGGGCCACTGCAGGGCAAAGAGGGCGAGCGCCAGGACGCGGGGGCAGAGGAGGAAGAGGTTCCATAGGAAGTAGATGACGGAGGAGCCCCAGCCCATCTCGTACTTGTCCTGCAGGAATGAGCGCAGGGACTGGTGGTAGTCCAGCAGGGACCAGGTCACACACAAGAACGCCGTGCAGATTCCCATTCCTGCAAACAGAGCAGCAGCCATGGAGAATGCAGACCAAGTTGGTGCTGGTCCTGCTCCAAACACCCCCCAGCACCTCTGAAAGGAGCCCCCTACCAGCAAAGCAGCGGCTTTGGAGGCTCTGAACATCACCACCTCCATTTCTCCTTCCCTCACTTCCTATTTCCTGCCCTTCCTGAGCAGGAGCTGATGCCTCTCCCAGGGGAGCCCACACTTTGTCCAAGGACAGAACTTCCCCCCACTGCTTCAGTTCCCACCAAGCCCAGCATAGCCCATAGGGGCCCATGGGGCTGGGACAGCACAACACCAAGGGGGCGGCTGTGGGAGGGTACAGCAGCACAGCAGAGCAGCGCAGCAGAGCCCCGACCTCCCAACCCGATCCCCATCCCCGGCCCCGCACCCTGGGAAGGCTCAGCCTTGTTGCTGCGCAGGACGGTGTAGAGGAGCAGCGCGAGCTGCGGGGCGTTCTCCAGGAAGGTCTCGAAGAGGCGCAACATGCTGATGTCGTGGGTCAGGAACGCCATGTAATTCCTCTCCTCCTCCGTCGCCTCCGCCCGGCACAGCCTCCAGCCCAGCCGCAGCGCTCGGATGCACCTGGCCGAAGCACGGCGCGCTCAGCGGCGAACGCGGCGCTCCGGGACCGGCGCTCCGCTCCGCCGCAGCCCGGGATGCGCCGGAAGAGCGGAGCCGCAGCCCGAGGGAGGAACGCCGCGGTCGGGGGAGCCGTACCTGTATAAGAAGCCGAGCTGCAGGAGGTGCAGAGCGGCGAGAAGGCGGCGGGGCAGCTCGGGGCGCAGCGCCGGCGGATCGGAGCGGAACCACAGCCAGCTGCAGGCCTGCCGGGCGGCGCAGCCCGCGGCCCACAGCCCCAAACCCAGCGCCGCGCAGCCCGGCCGCCCCGCGTGCGCGTATCCCACCGCCACCCACACGTCCGCCCCCACGTCCCACACCGCCGCCGCCGCGCCCCCCGCCGCCAGCAGCCACTGCCAAGGCCCGAAACGCGCCGGGTCCCGCACCGCCATCCCGGGGCGCGCCGCCCCGCCCGGCCCCGAGCGCCGCCCCGCCCCGCAGCTCCGCTCCTCGCCCCGCCTTTGGGTTCCCTGTTCCCCATTGCAAGAAAAAAGCTCATCCTTAGCACATCCGGCGGTGCTTCCCAGCGCTTTTTATTTTTCCCCGCCCTGATTTTTAAATCATTCCCATAGGCAGTGGCTCATTTCCAGACCCCTTTCCCGTGCAAGCAGTGCTTACCCCGAGCACAGCCGAGGAGCGCAGGCGCTGCTCCTGTGATCGTCCTGAGCTGTGCCACGGGCAAATGCCACCAACCCCTGCAAAGCTGCAGCCATGCAGAAGGCTGTGCCACCCCTGTCCGTGCTTCCCCTCTGACACAACACATTGTTCCATTACTGATTCTCCGGCGCTGCCTCCACACAATTGCTTATGGACAGCACAGGGATTTCTGCGCTGTCTCATCCACTCGTCCCCAAGGGCTCAACAGTGTCACTTTTCTTTGGTTCATGTGTGGCTTTTGCAGGAGCAGACAGAAGGCTGGCGAGGCACGGAGGGTTTCTTTGCAGTTTGCAATGCACAGCTGAAGAAAACAAGCAGATGTGAGTTAAAAGAACACCAAAGGTGTTTGGGAGGAAGCCATCTGTGCTCAGCATCTGAAAAAATAACACGAAGCTTCTTACCCTGCTGCCACATTGTGGATGCTGACACGTGAAAGTCAGGGCTCAAACTCAGACTTCCCACACTGTCAGAGGCAGTTCTGACACTGCCTGGCTTTGCTCACACACCAGAGCCAAAGCTGCTGCTGTATAAGGCCACCAAAACAAGACCCTGCAAGGCCAGCTGTTGTGTTGTTTTTTTCAGAAGAGAAGCATACTCGGATTCCTCAGGAACACGTGGCAGCTCATAGCTCTCACATTAAGTATGGGTAAGTTACAACTTACAAGGAGGCCTTCATTTCATTTGTGCAGCTGCCTCAGAAGTTGTAGCAGAAGGAAGATGAACTCCCTGATGTGGATCAGTCTGGTACAAAAAGGCTTTGTAATCATCTCTGATGCATCAAGCTTTTCTAGAAGTGCTGAAATCAACATCACAGAGCTTTTACTACAAAGCACTGATTATTTCTTGGTTTTCAAATAAGTTCCCAATTCCAAAAGCATGCACAACTGCCAATTCATGTGCACTGTGAAGCTGTGCTCTCTTCACTCATGCTCTCAGTCATTACAGTGTTTGCTGGGGACCAAAGATCCCTAAGAGCAAAGAGAGTAATAAAAGGCAAACACTGACGATGGCAGAAGTAGAGCTGTTGGCTTTAAGGCACTCCTCATATCTGGTAAAATCAATTTCCTTGATGGCACAAACGTGGTCGACTCGGCAGGTCTCCCCACACAGGGTAAGGTCGTATTTGACAGAGTTAAACTCGTAATATTGCTGCAGATAGTTTGCATCCTTGGATATCTTTTCCAACACTGTCTGCATGGAATGTGTGGAGCCATCAGGCACCTGAAAGGCGCTCGTCAGCCGGTATTCCTCCTCCCATGCTGGGGCCATCAGATTGGCATGAGTTAAGTTCAGGTAGTAAGTCACCACATCCTGCAGGGTGAGAGAAATGGAACCAAAGTCAAATCAAGAAAGGATCGACCCTTCAGTGGAATGTTTGTTTAGAATATGGGATTTGTACCAAATAATGCATCTCCCTGCCCAGGAAGGAGTGCAGCTTTCTTTCTATCAAGATATAAACCCGTGGACAGATGACTCAGGTGAGAGCCTCCACAAAGCAGCAGCATTTAATTAAATCATTCAGCAATTAAAGGGAATCCAAACAAATTTCTAGAGAGTTCAGATTTTTTAGATGGGGTTCAACAAGTTCATCAGGCCCCAAAAGGAAGTCCTGCGATCCACACTGCCTGCATGTTGAAGTGTCAAAGTGTCAAACAAAGCCTACCCTGCACTGGAACTCATCCCAGCAGGAGGGCTGCACCTGCTGCACATGGTCACCTTGCCTTCACTCACTGATGCTCTTACTACATCCCCGTGCTAACTATGAGACTGTCAGAGGTCACTCCCTGTAAATCCTCTTGGGTCCCATAGTTCTGCCTGTGTAAACCACATGGAGGAATAAAATACTCCTCTAGAACTGCAGTGCAAAGCATGAGGGGATCCCCTACCTGCACCTGAAGGGTGTCTGCATCGTAATCAATCACTCTGATCCCAGGGTTGTTGGCTCCATTGTTCACTCCAGGTAATGTTGTTTTCCAGGGGGTCACTCCAGGGGCCAAGAACATGACGTTGATTGGGGAACCTTAACAAAAAAGCAAATCCAACCATGAATGGCAGAATTCAGCTTCAGTGAGCATCTCATAAACACATCACTCTGCAAGCAGCCAGCTCTAATTCCAACAGTACACATATAAAAATTATCACATTGACCAGCACAAGGGATTGAACATTGGGCTCCTACAGTGAAAAACAGATTTTCTAAAGCGACAGAAGACCCCTGTGGTGAGTGTGTGTGCAAGGGAGCCATGCTTGAAGGACACCCAGAGTACTACACACAACCCCAATGCAAAGATTTGTAATCATTCCCTTTTGCCTCAGCTCGTGTCCAAAGCTTACCAGCACAGAGCAGGACCAGCAGCATGGCTGAAAAAGATGAAATGTGAGGGGAAACTGGAAGGAGGCTACAGGCTGGGCTCAGGGATCACTGCCACTGCTGTGTTTTATTGACCGAAGTATTTTACAAGCTATTTTAGAAAGCAAGATAAAAATAAGCCTCTTCTGGCTTTCTCAGCAGCATCCAGCTAGCAGTCACTGAAAATTCTCATTGACAGTGATGTTCTGATGGTTGGCAGAGATACCATGCAAATATGAGGGCAGCCAGAACTGCTACCTGAATCACTGTAAAACATGCGAAAGCTGTCTGTGTGATGGTGTCCAAAAAACTGGGCAGCAATCACTCTGTGGTGCTTCTGCACAATTTTCAAGTATCGTTCATTGAAATCCCTCCGGAACCACGGCTTGCCTCGTTTCTTCTCAAAGAAGCCAGGAGGGATGTGACCCACAATATAGACCTGCAAGAATGAGGAGCTGCACTGAATGCATTGCCCATACTTTCTGTAAAGCACTGGCTGGCAGTGACAGCACAGAGGGGAGATGAGGAGCAAGAAGAGCTTCCAAACTGGAAGCAAGCCCTCTACAAAGTTGTTTAGTTTTTTTTAAATTTTAATTTAATACCATTTCTTCTGCTTTAGAGGCATTGGTCAGTGTTTCCTCCAGCCACTGGAACTGCCCTCCAGGATCTTCCTCACCAGCAGTCTGGTTGTTCTGGTCATAGTACAGATTGGTGTTGAGAACAATCATTCGCCCCCTGGTATCTGGGCTGGGCAGCTTCTCACTGTAGAAAGCTCCTGCAAAAGGCAAGCAGCACGGAAAGAGCTGGAGGTGTGGTGCAGCTGAGTGCTGGAACTCAGGATCCCTGTGTTCCTAGCTCTCTCCTTGGCAAATGCCATAGCTGAGTCACTGCACAAAGTGCCAGCAATGCTCTGAACAGACGAGGTTAGGGAATTGGTGTGACCCTTCACTGTGTGTCTCCTGTCCTTCTTAGGCATCCCAGGGTGAAGGGAATGCCGACAGGGACAGCGTGCAGGACCAGGAGCTGGGCAGCTGTAGAGAGCCACAGTGCTGGGCCTACAACTGCAGCCTTCCAGCCTTCTTAAAAGATCGTGGGTTTTTTTTCCACTGAAGCTTACCACCCTGCATTCTCTACAGGGACACTTACTTGTAACTTGAAGAAAGCAGGAGAGACCAAAGCATAAGGAAATTTCTTTTCTCACACGCAGGAAAACACAATAAATTAGCATTAACTGGACCTTTCCTCTATAAATATTGCTGCTCTGAGCATAAAAGCATGGAAAACTATTTGTGGTACTCTCTTAACCTCTCCAGAGTGATGCTAACATGCACCAGCAGCGCCATACCTGCTCTGAACAGAGGAATAGAAGTTTCATTCAACCAGGAACGCCACAGTTCTGCTGTTTGGTTGTAGATCCTGTTCTCCTTCCCTGGAAGCTGATTCTTGGGGTGGAAGTCATGATTACCCATTGCTGCATAGACTTTAGTATCTAAGAACAGAGAAAAGGAAGAAGGGAGAAGTAGTCCATACTTGTTTCAGGTTCCTCATCATTAAAGCTCTCCAATGACTCAAAGAACAGCATGACTCAACAGCTTGGTGAAGGTGTATCACCCACACTACAGCCACATTGACTGCAGAGACCTCTCACTATGCCATGGGACTTCTCAGGGCAAGACACCACAGAGACACAGCTTTACAGACCAATCAATGAGCACTCACTGTCTATAACGCTCCTTCCCTCACTGCTGTGATAGATAAAATAGAAAGAAATTTCTGCCTAAATGAGTAATTAGAGAAACATTTATTTTCCTCTCTTCTGAGTGCATTAACCAGAAATAACAACAGTGTGTCAGACACCTGAATTCAGACACACCTCACACCGCACAGCAGCTAAGAAGAGGACAAATAAGTCATATTATCTGCAGCCTTTCTGGGCCTTTCCCCTTCCCAATTCTATCATTGTTCCATACAGATAAAATCTTCCCTGAAAATCTGTACTTCTCTTCCCTTCTCATTCCCTCACGTCCTACCTGGAAATACCTGTTTTATCAGAGAGGTCAGGTTTTCAATGATGTGCAGAACCTTTTCTTCTCCAAGCTGCTCATTGGGAACATGAGGAGTATCATCCCTGGAAAAGCAGAAACAGCACAGCTGTTGCTTGTGGCCAGCAGGGCACATGCTCAAAGCAAGGCACAGAACACGTGCCTGAGCCCCCTGTTTTCTTTTTTCCTCATAGAAGATAAAATCAGAGGCTTTGGGGGTAGGAATTGGCACTGTGCTCACTGGCTGAGGCACTGCAGGAGCATCAGGAAACTGCTGCAAGTGAAAAGCTGCTCCATTTTATTCTACTTTGACAAAACTATACATGAGCACAAGAAGCAGGCTTGTCCTATTTCAGCACGTTTAATAGATGCTACAGCTGAAGAAGCATCATGCAAAAGAGAACATATTGCAACCTCGGGTCAAAAGTGGATAACAGCAAGGAAGCAGAAGTCGTTTGCATTCAAGAGAACAGCAGGATAACTATTCCTTGAAAAGGAACCAAATGAATGACTCAGTAATGCAGCGATCACTGAGATCTGCCCCAAAACCTGGTGTATGGACACTTCTATATTTTTGGCCTGGAACAGCTCCAGGGTCAGTGACAGCACCAGCTCCTCAGGCAGCCCATGCTGCCAGTGCATCAAGACAAGCTTCCAGACAAGCTCTTCCAAAGACCTGTGCTCCAGACCCTCACAGCTCTGTTCCCTTCTCTGCACACTGGAGGGCCTCCACGTCTTTACTGCAGCAAGGGGCCCAGCGCTGAGCACAGCACTGAGGTGCAGCCCCAGCAGTGCCAGCACAGAGGGATGATCACCTCCTGCTCCTGCTGGCTGCATTGCTGCTGACACAGCCAGGATGCCGTGGGGCTCCTTGGCCACCTGGGCACCCTGCTGGTGCTCACATCCAGCCAAGTATCACCAACACCCCCAGCTCCTTCTCCTCCACGTTTCAGCAACAGCGGGTTACCTCCACTGGTGCAGATGTTTATGAGCACAGCGTGCATCCCTTGTTCGTCGCTGGCAGAAACGCGCTCAAAAATAACGCTTTACAGCGGAGAATTTGCTTATTTAATGCAGCGCTGCCGCGCTCTTTAGCTGCGGACGATTCCACGGCAATAAATAGGAGGCATTAGGAGAAACGAACGAACAAGAGAGAGATAAGATGAGAGTCGCCAGGTCCTCACCCGGTCCAGAGCACGAAGTCGGGCCGCGGCAGCAGCTGGCGCATGGCGAACACGGCGGAGCTCAGCAAACCCCACGGCGCATCGCACAGGTAGCTGCCCCACGGCCCCGCGCTCGGAGCGGCCTCGGAGCCGCCCGACGGACAGCGCTGCCCGGCCGCCACCGCCGCCTCGTAGCCGGGGTCCCAATGCAGGTCCGTGAGGTGCCAGAAGCGCCCCGCCAGGCCCGGCGGACACAGCAGCAAAAGCAGCGCGACCGTCCGCATCCCGGCCTCCCGCATCTCAGCACCTTCACCTGCCCGCCCCGCCCCATCGCGTCAGAGCGGCCGGGCAGCGCCAGCACCCAGCGTGGCGGCGTCGGCATCCCCGCCGCCGGAAGCTGTCGGAACAAGGAGGGCTGTGATTGGTTCTCGCTTCCGGAAGCTCTCGGAAAAAAAGAGGATGATGATTGGCTCTCGCTGCCGGACGCTGTCAGAAGAAAGAGGGCGGTGATTGGCTCTCGCCGCCGGAAGCAGTCGGAAGAAGGAGGGTTGCGATTGGCTCCCGCTGCCGGGGCGCGGGACGCGGTGCTCGAGGAACGAGTCGTACTGTAGCTGGGCTCTGCCGCCATGTGGGGCGGGCACGGTGCGGGCCGGGGCGGCACGGGGAGCTGGGCGAGTTGGGCGAGGCTCCTCCCCTCACGGATCTTTCTTTCCCTTCCCAGGTAACTTCGATGGTGGCTACGGCCCCGCCGGCGGCTACACACAGTCCCCGGGAGGTTTCAGCTCTCCTACAGGCGCGCAGGCGGAGAAGAAGCAGGTAGGGCCAGACAGGGCCGGGGGAGCGGGCGGCTGCGGCGCTGTCCTGAGCTGAGCCGGGCTGGGCCTAGCCTGTCGCTGACCGCGGCGCGTCCCCTTCACCCCACCCCCTTGCAGCGCAGCCGCTCGCAGAGCATCGTGCCCTGCACCGTGTCACAGCTGCTGGCAGCCGAGCAGGTGGACGAGGCGTTCCGCATCCGCGATGTGGAGATCTCGCAGGTGGGCACCCGCTGCCATCCCCGGTGAGGCGGCTCTGAGGGGCTACGGGTGCCTCTCCCCGCCCCCTGACGGCCCTCCCTGCCGCAGGTCACCGTGGTTGGCATCGTAAGGCACGCAGAGAAGGCGCCCACCAACATCCTGTACAAGGTGGACGACATGACGGCAGCGCCCATGGATGTGCGGCAGTGGGTTGACACCGACGTAAGCAATGAAACCATTCTGAGGTGCTGCTGTGGGGAGAGGCACTGTGAGACATAAAACAGTCAGTCTGTGAGCTGGGGCAATGCTGTGCCTATGAGAGCCGAGCAGGGTGCTGCAGTAGCAAAGATCAATGGTTCTGTGCTTTTGTGATTTTCTACTCTGTAGTTCGTACATCAAATAATATAAATAATTTCTTACAGTTTAGCTGCCGAATCTCAGTTGTTACTTAGAGGTGTGCACTCTGTTCTTTTATGTGAGAAATGTAAAACCAGAGAGTGGAAGAGGTCTGTGTGTTGTCTTGTTGCCTGGTGCCTGGTTCCTGTAGTGCTGCTGGTCTCCACTGTGCTCTCCTGTTGATAGAGCTGCTGCTTACACACAGCCTGTGTCGCTGGTAAACATGTCTGGAGGTGAACAGCTGCATTCAGCTGAACAACTCTGGGAGTAATTAAAGAGATCCTCAGTTGGCTTATCTACAGGTTTGCCATAAGATTCTGTGACTGCTTGCAGCCCCCCAAGCTGTGTTCAGTGTTTGAATAACTGACTTGGGTGTGGTTTGTTTTTAAAATGCTTTGGGTTCTTTCCTCTTGTTCTGTGAGAATCCCTCAGGAGTGAATAGAGCAGCAGCAGAACATAAAGCTGGCACTGACTGCTGTCAAGCATACAGTCCATTCAAATAAACATTTTTCATCTGTAGTTATATTTACCTAACTGCTCTTACTGATTGTCTGAACGTGTGTCGTTTGTGTTTGCTTGAGGTAGGAGTCTTTAAGTTGTTTATTATGATAATTGAGAAATGGAGAGATGAATCAGCAAAGCCTTGCTTTCTCCTTTCCTTCTCTGTAAGGAGGCAGGTAGTGAGAATATCGTGGTACCCCCAGGAACTTATGTAAAAGTCGCTGGTCATCTTCGGTCTTTTCAGGTAAGATCATTTGTGACTCCTCAAGAAATGAGGTTGGAGCAGTGGCATGAAGGGCTGGTGATCTGGCAAAGTGTTGTAAGAATAACCCATAGTGTATTGTATGATAAGAGTTGCCTCGTAGCAGTCATCCTTCAGATAATGCTGCATGTGTTAAAGCAAAGTGCAGTTACCAGCTGGATAGAAAGAACTTGCCCAGACACTGTCCTGCATGATTCCATAGAAAAGCTTTTGAGTTCAAAAACTCTGTTAATTAAAGGCAGACAGACTCCCCACCTGCTACTGCTCCTGTTCTAGCTAGAGCATTTAAATTGTATGTCAAGCATATTCATGTTGCTACCCTGTTAACTGTATTTTTTTCTTTTCTCTGGAAGAATAAGAAAAGTTTGGTGGCATTTAAGATCATGCCTTTGGAAAACATGAATGAGTTCACCACGCACATACTTGAAACTGTCAATGCACATATGATCCTCAGAAAAAATCTGATGGTATGTAGTTGGAGGTCATGGTTCCACCATAGCTGTTACTGGGTATTACTGGTTATCTCCCAAAGAAGGGGGATCTCTGGGTTCAGTGGGAAATTGTATATAAGTTGTGGGTCTGGAAAGCCTAAAGTTTGAAGGGCTGCAGCGGGGGTGTGCTGTCAGTCTTGAATTTCTTCAAGAGACATTCTGTTGTAGCCAGTTTTATTTGATTTCTTTTGGAAATCTCTTTAATTACTGTACCGGAGTAATTAGGCCGAGTCTTTCATGCCTTGGGTTTGCAGCGGCCTGTGCAGCCACAGCTCTTTTACCCTTGCAATTACAGTTAGCATTAAGAGCACCTCAGTCATTTACCTCTGCTGGAATGAGTGACGTGGGGAGCTACGGTGGAGGCAACCTGCCTGTGAATGGACTCACAGCACATCAGAGTCAGGTGGGTGCCAGAATCTTTTCCAGGAGCACAGATGTCACAGTGGGTGCTGCTGCAGTGTGATTTAGGACAAAGAAATAAAAGCTTAGTTATTCTTGGAAGGCTGATAATTCTTTTTTGGCCTCGCTGTTCAGTGTTGATAGAGCCTAGCTGTGTGCTGATGGTGGTTCATGTTCTTCCAGGTGCTGAACCTGATTAAAAACTGCCATTCTCCAGAAGGTATGAGTCTTCAAGAGCTGAAACTTCAGCTCCACAATGTCAGCATACCAACAATCAAGTAAGTATGTAGAAATGAAGGATTTGCTTCAAGTCCACACAGTCCTTTCTGGAATCTGCTGAAAGTAGACAAAGAGGAAAGAAGTGAGCAAGGCCGGATGCTTACTTCTTTTTAACAGTGTTTTGTGATTTTAATGTGTCCCCACAGGATGCAATAGTCAACCTGAGTTTTTGAATTCAGTGAAACAGCTTAGAATGAGTCACTGTCTGTTGAAATGATAAAGCCTTGGAAAAACTTTTATGTGTGTGTTGACTAGTGGAGCAGCACTTGTTTAAATGCTGATGGGATACAGTCTCTGGGTGCATCTTTTGGCAGATGCCAGAAAGGAACAGTGAGGACATCAGGCTGTGGGTGGGAAATGGTTGAGAGAAAGGCATTGATGTGAGCTAGGTACTAATTGGTACTAATTGCCTTTTTTTTTCTTCAAAGGCAAGCAGTTGAATTCCTTAGCAGTGAGGGACACATCTACTCTACTGTGGATGATGATCACTATAAGTCTACAGATGCTGATTGAAGTTCTTTCCACCTGGAAGTTGCTTTTAACCAATTACTTGCCAGTGTCTCAAGTTAACCTGCTGAGCTTTGCAACTTGGAAGGTGATCTTTGCTTTCTAACCTGTGCAAGTCCCAGTTATTTTGTGAGTCCCTGCACCTTGGAATTTAAGGACAAGCAGAACATTTGGGAGGATTCTGGTAACTGGGCTTGATTAATATGCCATGACCATGTGATGGAAGTATAAACAGATGTGGGAAAACCTAGGAAAACCAAACTTCTCAAAGCTTCAGATCCTGCAGTTTGTTTTTGCCTGTTAGAACAACTGTGTTGGAAAGAACCCCTTTCACATCTTGTGTGCAGATTCTTTTGTTGTTTCTTCCTAATGCTTTCATTCAATTTCATTCACAAGAGGGGCAGCCAAGAGAAACGTTCTACAGTACAGTAATCATGACTAGATTTGTAATTAGTTTGTGCACTTAAATCTATATTTGTACTACGAAGTAGTCAGGTTACTATGGCTTTTTGAATATTATTTTCAATAAAATTTAAACCAGGGTGGTCTTGAGCTTCTGTGGCTCTGGAGGCTTTTGTTCTTCCCTAAAGAAGAAAAACATTTGTCACTGCAACTCAGATGTGTGGATACAAACACAGACCATGCTTTCCCAGGATTTAGTTGTCTGTACTTATTATTTTCTTAAGCTTTTGAAGTGAATTGCTCTAAGGGGTCAAATTGCTATGAACAAACATCTGGATGTGAAAACATGAATAATTCTACTGAAAGAAGCTGCAAGCTGTATCAGTGATCCATCTGGAGCCAGGATCATTGCTGCCAACAGGAAAAAGGTGATGTTAGGAAAGAGCATTGTGGATACTGGTGATGCAGCAGTGAGGAGATGATGAGTTTACATTTCCTCTTTCTCTGTGTGGCACTGCTTTGCTCAGGGAGGCAGTGTGCTGAAGACAGCTCCTGCACCGTATCTGTTCTCTCTTAATTTCTTGTAGTAGAAAATGCAGAACTGAAAGCTACCTCCTGGGAATATCCTGCGTCAGTTGGTAGGAGTGTTAGTGTAGTTCATAAATATTCAGAATCACTTACCGACCCTGTAGGGAACATGGCAGTTCTCCCATGGGTGAGCGTGGTTTCTGTGGTATGCATGTTTAGCATTGCTAAAAGGCAGGACCTAGGATTGTTCAAGCTGACTGCTGATAAACTGAAAGGCACTTGCTGCCTGTCAGATGGGAGCCTTGTTTGCTACAACTGTGCTGACCTGCTCTTTGAGAGCTATTTTCTCTCTAGCACAGAATCTGCCAGAAGAAGCTTGTGCTCCCTGCTCATCAGCTGGGTTAGTGTGGCTTTCTGCAGGAGCTGCAAAATGTGGGTTTCAGTGCAGATTTTTATCTTATCTGAGAGCGGTGAAGTAAGCTAGCTTTGGAAAAGTAGCTCTTACCACAATGCACATGTGTGAGACTGGCTTCCCTACCAAGTGCCTCTGTTTCCGTTAATAACGCTCTAACAAGCTCTGTGTATCCTGCTGAAGTTTAGGTAGTGGCACAGCTGCAGCCCTTGGTACATGTGGTGCTAAATTGTAGTATGGATGTGAACAGGTCAGCTTCTATGTTATGGGATCTAGCAGACCTAGAAGCCAACAGCACTGTAGTTTTTTCTTGTAGAGGGCATGTAGATCAGGAAACAAATCCCTGATGATTTTTGGAAGTGCAGATGCATGGAATTGCTTGCAGTATAGAAAGGAGCTGTAGGACTCCAGAAACGCGATCTGACAAGGGAGATAATGTAGAATGAATCATAATGTCTTCAACTTGGGAAGGAGTTTAATTCTTTGACTACTCTACCTTTTGCTGTTTCTTTAAAGCATTCAAGAGCATCTGACCATGCTGTGAGAGAGCACTGACACTGAGTGTAAATCCCAGAGTAGAAACAGAGCAAGAAAGAAAGCAGGAAACCAGCCCATGTTCCAGTGAGGGCTTGAGATCATCTCTGCAGCTTTGTAAATATGCCCTAGATTCCCAGGTGAGGAACAACACAACAGATCTGAACCCAAAGCTACACAATGGGAGAGGAAAAAAGCCCAAACAGCAGTTTGCTAATAAGTGAAATTCAAAGTTTATTTTCCAGCTCAGATTTGTACCTGCTTTTAGTCTAAAGCAGCTGGGACTGGAAATTGCCCTGTATTGGTGCTCCTGGTGACTGGTGGTGCCTTCTCTGATAGGGATGGGATGTGTAGGGAGAGCTATCAGTGGCCTCTGGTAGATTCCAGCAGTGACCACAACAAAGGAATTTGTCTTAGAACTTTTCAGTCTGAAATGCTGATGAGCACAGCACAGCCATAGAATCCAGCCAAGCTATTCTAAGAGTGTGTGGGTGATGTTAATGTAGAAGGAGCTGGGTGAGATAAATGGCCCTAAGCCTTGGCTGGCATCTCAATGCTATCTTGGTGGATGCTCAGCTCCCAGGATGGCTGCCCCACTGTATGCTGCTCTGGTGCAATTGGAGAGTCCAATAGGCAACATCTGAGGACATGATCCACAGCATGACAGCCCACCACAGCACAGCAGGGAGGATTTATTCTGCACATCTGGCTGTTCCTCAGGTGTGTGATCTGCTTGCATTTGAGCAAAGTGGGCACATATTGAGGCAAATAGAGGCTGTGCTGTGGATCTCTGGGGTTGTATTCAGCCTTTGTTTAATAGTTTTAATTTAATATAAGGTTTAAGAATAGTTGGAGTCTGGTCAGCTTCAGAAACCAGAGGATTAAAAAGGAAGAATAGCCTGCACTTTGCGAATCGTCTTCTGAATGCTGCCTTCAATGATTTCATAATCGTGTTCTTCACTGCTTCTCTTCATATCTGGAAGAGAACAGCACAGACAATGCGTAATTGGAGCTAGACCATGGCAGAAATCCTACAAGTGGGTGCTCCAGACTGCTCCCCCGTCCTCCCTGGCTTGGTGATGTGCCCACAGGAGTGCTCACACCAGGACATGGCAATAGTCCCAGTGAGCTGGGGCCAAAGGTCTGGAAGAAAGAGGGCTTCTTGCAGCTGCTCCGCCCCAGCAGACACCAGTTTCCAGTGCCATGGATCCCTGTGATCTGTGGGGCAGGAACGTTTCCCATTTGATGGCAGACCAAGGTGAACTCTTGTCTGCCATTTTCATCTCCTCACGGGAGGAGGACAGGCCTTGTTTCCCCTCACGCTGAGGTCCATGTCTGGGACAAGGCAATGGAGCAGTCACCCTAGGGATAACCTGGTGCCTGGTTGCAAGTCCCCCAGCAGTGCATCCCTGCCCCACATCCAAGCAGGAACATCTGCAAGCATGTCAGGGCCCCAGTGGCAAACATCTCCCACCCCCCAGTGGGGTTTGCATCCCCTCACCTGTGTCTCCAGGAGCATCGTGGAGCTGTGGGGCTGCTGGCCTGTAGGGGCACGGGCTGTACTTGTTGGGGATGCTCTGCTGGATGGGGAGGCTTTTTGCCTTCGGGGGCAACGAAGGAGCCGGGTGGGCCTGGGGGCTGGCAGGGTGCTGGGGGGTTGGGGGGCAGCTTCCTTTGGGGTGTGCCTGGTTCTTCTGGCCCTGGGCACGGCCCTTGTGTGGCTGTGCCTTCCCACTGGCCGTCTTTGGCTTGGGGGGCCGTGGGGGTGGTGGGGCTGAGCCACCCGGCAGCTGCGCCAGCAGTTGGTAGTAGAAGGCCTCTGTCAGCTCCTCCACGTGGGAGCGGTGCGTGGATGGGGTCTGGGTGCCGACAGGCTCCCCAGTGAGGACGAGGGAGAGGTCCAACCACTGGGGCGGGATCTCAAAGCCCTCATCCGGCTCCTCGCAGAAGCTGCTGAGCAGGAAGGGCTGGGAGATGCGGGCCTCCAAGCGCAGGGAGGAGAAGGAACCCAACACGTCCCGCTCCAGCGCCGGATCCGTGGTCACCACCCGCACATCGCACGGCAGTGTCAGCCGTTCCAGCAGCTCCGCCAGCCCGTACTTCTTGTTGTCGCACACCTCCTCCACGAAGCTGCCCCCCAGGTCCAGCGGCAGCAGGAGCTCCTCGCCCTCCTCATCCTCTCCGTCCTCCTCCTCGCTGCGGCGCTGGCACAAGAGCCTGGTGCTGCCGGCGTTGTGCAGCAGCTGCCGGGCCTCCAGCCGGTCACCCACGCTGAGCGGAGGAACGTCGTCCCCGCGGCCCTCGCAGTCCTGCGTCACCACCACGTGCAGCTGCTGGCCTGGTTGCAGCCCGGCCGCCAGCTCCTGCACCCCGGAAAATTGCCGAGGCCGCCGGCGGAACCGGCCCTGGTAGGCACCGGAGAGGAGGAAGCGGCGGGTGCTGCTGCGGGCCGAGGCCAACACCCTCCAGGAGTGGGAGCAGCCATGGATCTGCAGCTGCTGCCCCTTCTGCAGGCGGGAGGCCCAGGAGCTCTCGAAGATGGCGACGCTGTGGGGCCCCTCCAGGATCTCGGCCTGGGCCGGCAGCACCTCCTCCATCCCCAGCAGCTCGCTGAGCAGCAGCGGCCGGGCGAAGTGCACGTCTTGAGACTCCTCTGTCACGTCTTCCACGTCCACCTCCAGCGTGGAGGGGATCTTCACCTGGTCCCTGCGCACTGCAGGAGCAGAGCCGCCCTGATTTTGTGCTCACTCCACGCCGAAGAGAAGCCCTCCCCACAACCACCCCCCCTGCAGCCTCACAAGCTGCCTGTATCCCAGCACCAAACCTGGCACCTCCACCCCCAGCACCCTTCCCAACTCCGCAGCCGGACTCACAGTGCATGGTGGCCAGCACCTCGTACACAGGGCTCAGCAGCAAGGCATGAGGGCTGATGCTGGGGCACAGCAGGGGTTGTGTCTGCCCACCGCTCTGCCCCACAGCCTGGTGCAGGGTCAGGCCCTTCTGCCTGCTGCCTGGCTGGGAGGGTCTCTGTGGTGTAGAACATGGCGATGGAGCTGAAGAGAGCTGGAAAAGACCTGTGGGATGGCGAAGCTGAGCCCCCTGTGGCCATAAAGGGCTCCTGGGGAGGAGGGTCCCATGGGTAGAACAGAACAGATCAGAACAGCCCTGCTCACCCTTAAACGTTGGTGGCAGCTCTGTCTTCTGCCCCGTCTGCACATTCTCACAGATAACCTTCTGCAGTGTGACAGCAGTGACTTTCAGCAGGTCCCCGGTTGACAGGCAGCACTCATTGCCAGAGATCTCATATACGGACCCTGTGGGGTGAGGAGGGACCTGTCACAAACTTGACAGCAACTGGATCTGCAGCCCATGCAGCTCCTGCACCTCCTGTTTGTGAGTTGGGGGGTGGAGATGTGTCAGCTCCACTGCTCCACTGCCTCCCAGCAGAGCATGGGGATGCAGAGCTCTCACCCAGCAGAGTGGGAACCCCAGGAGTGGCACAGGAAGCTGCCAGCAGCAAGCCTACCCGCAGCTGTTTGTAGGCTGGTCGGAAATGGGGTTATTTCTGCTCAGCTGACTCATTCTGGGCCCGGATGCTTCGATTACCAGTGGGTAGATATTGTTATTGGTCACACAAGACCACACAACCTGTTGCTGCTGCTGGAGATCTGGATGAGTGGAGCTGGGACAGGACCCCTGAGGGCTGAACATGGTGGAGCTCAGCACAGCTGTGTGGGGTGGGCAGCCAGCATCACTTGGGCTGCATCCACGAGTGCTGACATGGTGAGAAGGCTCTCAGTTATCTTAGAGAGGTGCTTCCAATCAGGAAGATTGGAAAAGCAAAACTCCTGACGAGGGAAGTCTTTGGGAAAGTTAAACATCCATCCCAACTGAGCTACTGGGAAGCGGTGTTACTCCACCCCAACTGCTTCTCTTTCTCTTTACAAGTCAGTGTAGCATCAAGAAATGCTACAAATTCCACAAGTCCAGGCGGTAAATGCCACATTGCTGATGCCACAGCGGGCAGGAACCCAGGGTGCGTTTCCAGCATTTTTGAGAGGCCCAGAAATCTAGCAAAAGCATTTGCTTATTTCTGACTCCATTTCACCCACAACATTGCTATCAGCTGAAGAAATATCAGGACTTCACCTTTATCTAAGATGTCTCTGTGGCATTGGCCCAGGAGGAAGCAGAGAGCTCAGATCAGACTATGAGGCTGCTCTCTTGCTCCACTCCTTGCACTGGGGCCAGGAGCAATGCTATCCCACTTCTCTCCAGCCACCAAGCCACCACCCCTGCCAGAGCCACCACCCACAGGGGATTCACTGCCTGAGTGAGAGTTCAGATGGCCTCTGGTGCCCCACCGCCCTGGCAGCATTGGGGCACTCAGCTGAATGAGTGCTGGCTGTAAAGGAGAAAGATCTTCCTCAGGCACAAGCAGCTGGCAGCGGCAGGAAGATGTGTGCCATCCCTCAGCACCTGCTGACAAGGGAATCAGGCATCTTCATGGCAGGAGGGGAGAGCTCAGGCTGCAGTGATATTGAGGATGGATGTGGGGAGGTGGCAGAGCCTTGGAGGATGTGGGCAGTCGGTACTCACCTTGGAAGTAGACACCAGAGCATATCCTGAGGATGCGGGGAAGGGTGGTGGGGTCCAGGGAGCAGATGTATTCCTGGAAGGAGAGAGGCTCCATGCCCGCACTGCTGGGTGCTGTGTGTCACTCTGCAGGGAGTGAATGATGTAGGAAACAGCTCTGAGCTCTGCTTTGACTTCTGCATGCTTTTCACTTCCGCTTCTCACAGGAGTAGTTCCCTCTCTGGCCACAACCCCTCTCTTCCCACAGCTCTCCACTCTGTGCTGACATCCTCCTAACACCCACACCCTGGCACGCACCATAACTGGGTACTTCCCAGCCCTGCCCTGCCAGTGCTGGCAGTGGCTGAAGGCACGAGCCCCCAGCTTTGCTATGGTGTTTCCCTGGCTGTGCTGATGCTCTAGCCTGTCCTGCCCAGGCTGTCCCCACTTCATGTGTCCCATACACCAGCTCTGTGGCTGAGGTCAGGCAGGCAGTCAGTGCTGTGGGGCAGAGGTTGGGTCTGTACAGAGCACCTCCGAGCCAACAAAGGGCTGTGCTCAGGCTGCCCTCAACCTACACAGGCACCTTTAGCCTGCTCACCTCCAGGCGTTCAGATCCCATTTGCCCCCAGCACAAATATCCCCTGTACTGTCCAAGGGATCCACTACACTGATGGTGCACCACGCCACGTGTAGGTGCAGCAGCCTCAGCCATGGGCAAGGCAGGATCCAGAGCCACACACCTCCAGGACAGGCAGCAACATCTGTCTCCCATTGAGACAGACCCCATCCTTCACCAAAGCCTTTGAGCATTGCTCCCCAGGGCCATTGGCCCCACACACTGACCTCAACAGGCTGCTGAGATGGAAACAGCTTGTTGGAGATCTGCAGCTCCAGATCTCCGGATCTGATCCAGATCTGCAGCTTTCTTTTTGTTACAGCTTTCCTCCAACTTGGCTAATGAATAAAACTGAAACTGCAAGCTAGGAACAGCAGGAATATGGGCCTGCATGTGGAAATGAAACATGAAGAGAAGTTTTTTAAACAGATGATGGACAAAATTATGCCTCTCTCTGCTTTGATTCCAGCTACAGAAATCAGCTGCTCTTGTGTTTCCTACTGGAAGAGGAAGAAACGATCCGATGGAAAGAGTGTGCTGCAGCACTGAGTCCTGTACACAGGGCAATTTCAGTATGCCTTAAATGTCACAGCAGTAGGGACATCCTGAGAACTTCCACTTGGAGCTGGGCTGCTCTTGGCACCAGAGAAGGTTGGCTGTGTCAAGGTTAGGACAGCCTACAAAGGTGGAGAACTCCTGTCCTTCTGCATTCCTTCTCCCATACAGAATGCTTCCCTAATGCTCAGCCTTGCGTATCCCAAGCTGCAAATGTGGCTATTGGCCCATTCCAAAAATGCTCCTGTTGTGTTGCAAGCCCAGCCTCCTGGCCATATTAGTCACCCTTTGTTGGACCTAATCCATATATTCCTCTTGAACTCAGGGTTCAACACTGGGTTCAGTGCAGCCAGCCAGCAGGAGCAGCCTCCCTTGATCAGCCAGTAGTGACCTGGTGTTAGAACAGCACACAGTATGCCCTGTTCACAGAATCATGCAATCACAGAATGGCTTCAGCTGGAGGGGACCTCAAAGCCCACCCAGCCCTAACCCCTGCTGTGGGCCCTCCACCAGGTTGGGATGCCCAGGCCTCTATCCATGGGCTCAAGCATCTCCAGGAATGGGGTGCTCCAGGCAGCACCTCACAGCCCCTGGGCAGATGGGACATCAGGAGCTTGCAAATGAGTCAGAGGCCAAAATGTCTCCAGGTAACAGGCACAAGGCATCTGCAAAGCTGCTGCACATGGTGAGAGCAGGTCATCAGAGAATCATAGAATCATATGATTCTATGTCAGACTTAGAGAGTTAGAATCAGAGATGATTAAAGCCACTGAAGTTGTTGTTCATCCTCTGCAGACCTGTACTGTGCTGCCAGCCTGGGGAAAAATGGGAGGGAGGCTGAAAACAGAAAGAATTAGGTCAAAAGTCGGAAGGGAGAAAAATATGTTTAAATATATAAGGTCATACGGGAAAATTCAATGGTCAGAAATGTACAGTGGCCTAAAGGGAACAGTGATAATCAGTAAAGCCAGCAAAACCAATATACCACAGAGCTGCTTCCAAGCTCAGGAGCAGTGAACACGGTTGGAGAAGATACTGAAGGCTGTTCTTGCTCTTTGCTGAGGTTGCCATTCACAGATGTGAAAAACAGTGAAACAGAGTCAGCAGAGAGGAAACCCAGCACCTGCATAGCTCTGCTCATGGGCTCTCTTTGGGATGCTGGTGTGAGCTGCTGGTCCAGCTGCCCCTGATCCTCATGGCATTTGAGTATCACAGAGCAACATGCTCCAGAAGGATGCTGGTGAGTGTGTCTGTCACAGGACGTTTGAGGACCCAGTGTCCCAATCTCTGTGGGAAGTTTAGGGAAGTAGAAATGGTCATGGAAGTCTCCAGCCCTGGACGTGGAGACTGTAAGCATGGTGGAGGTGGTGGTTCCACGGTCAGCTCAAAACCACACCGAACCCTGCCTGAAAGAATCATAGAATCATAGAATCACAAGGTTGGAAACGACCTGTAAGATCATCTAGTCCAACCGTCTTCACACTGCCACTGCTCCCACAAGCACTAAACCAGATCTCACAGCTCCTCATCCAGGCGCCTCTTGAACACTGCCAGAGATGGCGACTCCACCACCTCCCTGGGCAGCCATTCCAGCGCCTGACCACTGAGAGAAAAAGTTCTTCCTTAAGTGTAACCTAAACCTGCTCTGGTACAACTTGCGGCCATTTCCTCGGGTCCTGTTCGTTGCCTGGGAGAAGAGGCCAAACCCTTCCTCACCACAACCTCCCCTCAGGAAGTTGTACAGTGCAATGAGGTCTCCCCTGAGCCTCCTCTTCTCCAGACTGAACAATCCCAGCTCCCTCAGCCGCTCCTCATAGGACTTGTGCTCCAGACCCCTCACCAGCTTCGTTGCCCTTCTCTGGACACGCTCCAGGGCCTCAATGTCCTTCTTGTAGTGAGGGCCCAAAACTGAACACAGCACTCGAGGTGCGGCCTCACCAGCGCTGAGTACAGGGGATGATCACCTCCCTGCTCCTGCTGGCCACACTGTTTCTAATGCAGGCCAGGATGGCGCTGGCCCTTTTGGCCACCTGGGCACACTGTCGGCTCATGTTCAGCTGAGCATCAACCAACACCCCCAGGTCCCTTTCCTCCTCACAGTCATCCAGCCACTCATCCCCAAGCTTATAGCGCTGCATGGGGGTATTGTGGCCAAAGTGCAGGACCCGGCACTTGGCCTTGTTGAACCCCATTCACCTCAGCCCAGCGATCCAGCTTATCTAAGTCCCTCTGAAGGGCCTCCCTACCCTCAGGCAGATCCACACCACCTCCCAACTTGGTGTCATCTGCAAACTTACTGAGGGTACAGAAGCCTCTGTGAGCCGGCCTGCAGGCTGCTGAGCTGCAGTGAGGAGCCAGGCCTGGGCTGCAACGGCGAGTTGCAGTCAAGGAGGAAGGAGCTGGGCCAGGAGCATCTCTTCAGTGCTGCGTGGGGAGTGAGGAGAGGGAAAGACATACCCAGGCCAGCTGATGATAGGCCTTGGGGCTAAGTGGCTCTGCTTTGGGGCCAGCAACATCTGCTACCTCTTGTGGCAGCTCAGCCTTCAGCCTGATTTCATCCAGCGGGGCTCAGGAGAGGGGAAGAGGTTGGCACATGCAGTGGGCGCAGGAGGGCTGGTATTCCCGTAAGAAGCTGCAGAGCAGCTGCAGGAAGAAAAAAGCAGCTGTCAGGGCTTTGTCAGCCCCAAAGCCTTGGGCTGAATAAATGAGTGGAATGAATCACGCCCAGTGTTTTCACTTCCTCCTGCCAGCGCTGCCTTAGGAGTTCAAGGCCAACGGCCCCAGGAACCGCTGATTCCACACACACTGAAACTGCCTCATTCCCATCTGTGCTCAGCCCTCACTTCCCCATGAAGGATGTGACACCACCGGGGCTCTGAGGCACACGGCCCTCACTGGGTGTCCCCTCTGATCACTGCCTGAGTCTCAGCACAGAGCTGTCCTGCCCAGCAGAGCCTTGGTGTGCAGACAGAGCAGCTATGGCAGCCACAGGACATGGAGATGGGAGCTCCTCACCAGCAGATCCCACTGTGCCAGCATGGAGAACAGCACAGAGTGGGGTCAACCAGGGCCCACATTTTAGTTTTTATCTCCCTGAAGCTCCAAAGGTGCAAACGGGCAGCGGGCAGAGCAGAGGACTTGCATCAGAGGAAGTTGCCACAATCCTCCGGGCTCAGCTTGCTGACAGGAAGGTGAATGCAATTGCTCTTTTCCTCCAGAGGAGAAAAGCACCTTTCGTTATCATCACTGACATACTGAGGTGAAAAAAGATGCTGGAAATGGTTTATATGAATTCAAATGTTGAATTGGGTGTGTGTTGGTCTCGATTTGGATTTTGTTCAGCAAGAAGCAGCTGACACCAACGCCAACGACACCAACACCAACGACAGTGAGTTGTCTTCTGCATGTGGAGCAGCCAAAACAAAATGGTCAAAAGAGAAAGATGTAGAGCCTATCAGACAGATGGGCCCAGTGATAGCAGCCAAGGAAATGCTATTGGCTAACACTGCCAGCAGTCAGAGTGCTTCCATCAGTCCCACACAGCTGCTGTCTGCAAAAGACAGGGTGGACAGAAGGAGCCCTTTTATAAGAAATGGTGAAGGAAGCTCCATCTGAACATGATGTTGCCGTGCCAATAAGGGAGCACTGCAGCAGGCTGCCCGGACAGGTCCCCAAGCTGTATGGATGCAGCTCTGGGGTACGTGCTCTATCAGAACCTTGCTTCATTTCCAACAGTCCCTGTTGTTTTATTTTTTGGGTTGTTTTTTCGTGGAATTGGCTTTCCCCCAACCCCAACCAACAATAAATACCACATAACCAAAGAGGAAGTGGTGAGCAGACGACATTTCTCATAAATCACATGAAACTTCTGAGCCCCTATGCTGGGACTGAGCACAGCAAGGGAAAGGAAACACACACTTATATGTGGCAAGGTCCTGGCAGGGCTGTGGGGTCAGCAGGGGTGCCCTCTGCTTGCTACAAGCACTGCAGTGAAGTTGGAATGAATGGAACACTGGATTCATTATATATATATATATAAAAAAGTAGAAAATAGAAGAAACTGGGGGAGAGGATGGCTCTTGGAGGTTTAAACCAATCCGAGAAAGTGAACTGGAGAGATCCCAAGGCTTTTCTCCTTAATAATATTTTGGGAGGTCAACATTTTGCTTTGTATGTTAAGGGTCAATGGGTCTGAAGATAATTTAGTTTGGCAATGAATGTGAGGATTCAGGAAGTTGCAGCACCTCACCAGTATCTCCACTTGCCTACCAACACCAAAATCAAGCAAAGAGCCAATTCTGGGTGGAATTTTAACCCCCAACAGAACCACTGCATTCAAGTCCAGGCCAATAGTGAAATACTTCTGTATTGATCATATGGCTAACATAGCTCATGGAAGTAGGGAGTAGAGAACCATTGGACAACAGTGGAATAAATGAGATTTGGCAGGAAATTGGAGGTTGGTCATTGACAGAATGGCTTGCTCACCTTTTGCAGGTTGTCTATCACTATTCTAATAGTGGTAACAGTTATGATTATTGTCATATATGAAAGCTGCACTAATGCAGATGTGCTTTACCTAATGCTACCTAAAGGTTACGGAAGTCTCAGATAAGGGATTTGAAACTTCCAAAGGGGGAAAGCGAAGTCTTGAAATGACTTTGATATTTCTGTCTGGTTCAGGTATTTGCTCAAGTTCTGCTTTAAATTC